ACCATCTAAACCTCAGCTAGAATAAGACGACTCCCGTTTACGCCATAACATTTTTGCATAATCATCAAAACTAGCAAATTATTCTTTAGTCGCTTCTGCAGATTATAAATACAGCTGCTCTACGCAGTGTTGGCAGTATAGTGTCAGTACTTAGTTTGAGTAAGTTTCACAGTAAAGTGTCAGTTTTTAGTCTGAGTATAGTTGCAGTTAGTTTTCAGAGTTAGTTTGTTGAAGTAGCTGTTTCAGTAGTTGTTCAAGTTAGAAGTACAGCAATACCGCAAGATAACCAGAGACAGTGTTTAGTAAAAGAGACAGAAACATGTACATTTGACTTGAGAATTATTCTTAGAAATAAAGATTACAAAACAGAACCTTGTTTTGTTTGTGGCAGCGATTTCGTTCATTCTTTAAAAGAACAAAGAGAACCATACACTGGTGGCAGAATAACGAGACCGGTACACTATTTTGTGTATGTATTTCCAGATTGGAGATGGAATTTTTCAGCCATCAGCTTTCGGTGGAAATTCTTGCATGTCAAAGTTAAACCAAGCTGGAATGCTGAACAAACATTAGCAGCCAGCTTGGCTAAACACATGTTCAGTCCATAAATATAATTCCCAGACTTGTTAATTAATTTAGCGTCAGACTATTTCAACTGCCTCACAGACAGACTTAACAAGTAAATACATTCTGCTTATATGCCACTTACATATCTTTGTTATGAGTGCTAATTAGATATTGTATGATAATTAGATATTATTTATAGAAATGTAATTACTGCTGAATAAGATTGTTCATCAGTTGGGGGGTATATTTCATAAACCAATCCCTTACTTGTCATGTTAATATTTTAGTGCTAGAAATGGAGAGAATGTCGGAGAAAATGGATGAACCTCAGAATATTGAAGGTGGTAAGAGTGCGACAGTGACAGAAACAGGTTAGTGTGCATGAGTCAGTCCTCCTACCCCTCCCCCCCCCCCCCCCCAAAAAAAAAAAAAAAAAAATAGAAGAAAATTTGCAGTTGCTAATGCAAATTGTTGAGCAGTAACAACAATATCCATTTTCTCATTCTTTTTTATATCAATTTTACTTTATTTTATTATCAATTTTATTTTATTTTAACACAGTACACAGTATTTGTTTTGCAGATGCATGCATGCATTCATTTACATGTCCGATGTATATTTATATATATACATACATTTATTCTTGCTAGTTGTACTCCAGATTATATAACAGAACTCATAGACATTACAAAATACCTTGTCGTACAAAAAGCAGAAGCCAAGCAAATACGTCAACAATTTACTCAAGGAATCCCTGAAGCTCTAGCTGCAGGGCAACCAGATGTTGATTTAAAGGAACTGATAGATAAACATGCTGTGCTGAGGAGCAGATAAGCAATATCAATGCATATTTCAATTACCCCAACCGAAAAAAAAAAATTGTTTACAAAGCAATTTTGTTGCACCAACTACATGGAGAAGATGCATTACAAAAAGAAGGGGGCATTTTTCAGTCTTTTCATGTTATGGTTCCTAATGATGAATATTGCAGCTTTCAGTAACTAGGGTTACAGACAAACACTATCGGTCAAGCTTCTAGTGACCCCAACCCTCTGCCAGCAGTTGTCCATTAAAAAGCACTCTCACTAGTGTAGTGTAAACAAGCTTGACAGCAGTGATCCTTCTGATCACTTCCCAGCAGACACACATTGTATATATTTCAGCACACTTAGAAATAAAGTTAGTTGTTGTAGTTAAGTTCTTCTTGGAGTTGTTCTATGCGATTCTCCTCTCGATTCTCCTCTCACACCGATGTTAATTAACATCTATATCGAAGAACATAGAAACCATTTCATTTCAGTAGGAAGCTCAGCAAACATTTACACGTAAACGCTGGTGTAGCATGGTGCATGTCTTTGCATTGAGCACTGTGCTGAAACAAAATATTATTTCAGTTTTCCCAAACCAACTCCATACTGTCCTCTGGTACATGGCATTATCAATCCACTTAACTGTTCCTCCATGGTATGTGATACACCCATTGTAATTTTATGGACCCATGGATGACGCATGGGGAGGTGTGTGAGAGGTGGAGAGACTATTAAAAGATGAGGTGGTTTTTTTTTCATGTACATCCGCCACATTTAGGTCTCGGCTTTGTAGAGCCTCGGTTCTTCTTGATGTGAATGCGGACTAACATAGCATATCCGCAAACGATGCAGAAAATAAAGATCCGTGGTAGAGTTTAAAATACTTGTTATGGGGGCTCAAAATATGCAAAATACCGTAAAGTAAAAGCTGTCAGACCTGGTATTTATTTAATAATTTTTTCACCATGCCAGAACCAGATGCCTGAGAAGGAAAATATCAATGCAGGTCCAACAGGAGATAACCAAGCATGCACTCTGTAGGGTCAATGGAACTGCATATGTCACCGACAATTTACCTAGTTTTATGCGTGTAGAAAAACACAGCTGTTATATCTATGGAATTGAATATCCCCATATGACAAACCGTGACAATTCAACAATCATGTTTACAGGAACAAATGTTGTTAAGTTTGGAAGAGTGCAGTGTTTTCTGAAATTGATAGAGAATCAACCTGTAGCTGATGCGGAGGAACTGAATTGTCTGTCATACAATGACAGGAGTAACTTGTTAACTGTCAAACAATCAGGCATTCTAAAGGTTGTTCCAGTTGACAATATTAAGATGCTTACAAATTCCCAAATGATGTCACGTGGAGACACAACTAGCTGTGTCACATAGATGAGGATTTTTTACCAACATCATCAACAAGAATTATGTTCTGTGCATTTTGAAGGAGGTATATGCACATGTTACTATTATCACAGATGAATGAACCCATCTTTCTGTCAAGACTTATAGTCCTTCATTAATTACTTGCGAAATGCAACAATAAATGTTATTACAAATGCACATAAAAGTAGAATTGACAAATGTGTGTGTGTGTGTNATGTCCAATTTCCTTCATTCTGAGATTCTGAACATAGTGAATGATTGAATCTGACAAACTTCAATGATATGAGTTTAATTCCATTTTTGACACTTTATTACACAATACACGATAACAAGTTTACCATCATTTTTACAAAATCAACTAACAATGTTGTAAGGATGCAGGAAATGCCAAACAAACACTTTTACATATCTTATTAGTTCAATAATGAAACTGTTTACATGCCTAAGAGTTGAATCTGAGGAAATGTGAAAAAACAGCATAACTTCTAAAATAATGCCCCGATTATGCTGATTTTCGAACACAACCTGCGTTTTAGTAAGATTGACCACTCCTATCAGTTTAATGACAATTGGCCTATCTGTTTTTCTTATATTGTGTTTACAGTGTGCATATATGCTGAAAAATGAAAAAACAGCATAACTACTAAAATAATGGCCCGATCATGCTGATTTTCGAACTTGACCTGCGTTTTATGAATATTCATCAGCTCTGTAAATATGAAGCCAAAAAATAAAACTGCCCTCCACTTATCGTGTTTACAAGGAAAGTGCACGGCGACGGCATCGGCACCGGCATCGGCATCGGCAACGGTGACGGCGACGACAGACGCAGGTGACGGCAATATGTACAGACACATCTGTGTCTGTACATAATGACTGGCCAGTCAAATTTTATTTATTTAAGGTCGAATCCAAGTGCAGAGAGGGATACACAAATGATCCATTAATATTCATGGAGTGTATCTTTAAAATAAAGTTCGCGTCAAATTTTGGCATACATTATTAAAATGATAATGGAATAGTCTTACATTGTATTTGGACCACAAATGAAATGTTTGCAATTTCCCCTTCTTACAACACGTTTACCTCCTTTTTTAACCAATAATTATTTTCTGTTCATGTTCGGTCTTTCAATGCTCATTAATTACCACTTTGATTTTGAGAACCTTACATCTGGTTACTGATCTGTATACTTAAACAATACATTAAAATGAAAACAAAATTTGATTTGCAAAAAACTTTATTTTCATATAAAATATTCTCATTTCAATTTTACATTCTTGTATCACAGACAAAGCCTAGGCATTATAAACTGACAGTGTCATGAGCACCAATATGAAATAACCTGTGCACCAAAATCTTATATTATCTGTACCCCAATATCATATAACCTGTGCACCAAAATCTTATGTAACCTGTACCCCAATATCATATAACCTGTGCACCAAAATCTTATGTAACCTGTACCCCAATATCATATAACCTGTGCACCAAAATCTTATGTAACCTGTACCCCAATATCATATAACCTGTGCACCAAAATCTTATGTAACCTGTACACCAATTTCATATAACTTGTGACTCAACATCATATAACCTGTGCACCAAAATATTATATAACCTGTACCCCAATACCATATAAACTCTGAATCAATATCAAAAAACACTCTTGGTGCATATACCTGCAACACAGAAACCTATTAGCATCATGTAAGAGCCCATTAGGTCTTCAATACAGCCTGAACTGTCTGAATAAGTATTGTAAAATATGGGGGCTGCCAATAAACCATAATTTTTCAAGAAAGTTATTTTTAACAGTCAAGAAAAAAATCATTGATTGCACAGCAAAAACAATTTTTGCTTAGATGGTAAATTACTATTTCATCTAAATGTAACTACATGTAATGCTGGCTGCTGTTATGTGATGGCTAATTGCTATTCTACACAATGTTTATTTAAACTTATTCTACATGTAGCTATATTTAAAGGTGAATCTGTGACCAAGAGGAATCTAAAACTACAGAAAATAAACATGTGAAACTCTTAGACTTATGTAACTGAAAAAAAAAAGGATTGCGGAAATATCCACAATCTTAACAAAGAAAGCATGCTAATCAATCAATAATTTCAATGGAAATGAGCCCCAAAACTCTGCAGTGTCTTTGTGTAGAGAGTCTGGGTCAGTCTTTGTGCTTTCTATAGAGGGAGGACTGTTTCCCATTGCCGGCACTATGAGTGAAACAGACGAGAAAATGGAGGATCTGCTTTGTGTGTAAAGAACACGTTAAGATGCCATCATGAGGGGGTGTATCAGAGCTGTAGAGAGAGATGTAGTGAAGGAGGAGGATTACAGATAAACTGAAAGAAACACTCGCATTCTTTGAATCAGTGCATAATTCCATTGTTTACTTGTAGATGATTAAGAACTAAAGATTCTAGTGAAGCATAGCCTTTTGCATTTCCACTTAAAGCATTAATAGTGTATCATGACACATTTAATTATGAAAACAAACTTGGTTTACTTGCAGTTGGTAAATTTGCACCTTCACACTTGTCTTTGACATCACTCAACAAACTCACAATGATTGATATCTTCAATTTAGTAGTTTTCAACTTGGCAAAACCACGTTTCACTAGAATCTTGTTCTTCCTCATCTCCAAGTAAACAATGGAATTTCATTACTCTGAAAAAATTATTGCGTAAGATCCTCAGATTAGATTGAATAGATTGTTACCATTTACACCTGGTCAAGCTAAAAGAAGAGTTTGATAGAAAACCAAAAAATCATCCTAGATAAATGTGACCGTGTGATATATTTGGTTATTCTCAGAAGACTTCTCATTAACTCTTGTGACTGCTAAGTACTTACACATCTCTTGACATCTGGTCTTATATCACGTGACCTTTCATTATATAAAGCCTCAGCGCGCCAATTTCCAACACTGAGATGATGGAAAGGCTGACACTTGAGAATTGTGTTGGCGAGTTGGTTGCTCTAGTATTTCATTTCTATTCGTATTTCCTATGGTATTTACTATACAAGTGTTTTCCACTGCTTTTATTCATTTTTCTTTCAGACTCAGAAAACAGACATCCTCTTGTTCATCCTCCGTCTCAGTCATTTACAACCCCCTCTTGGACATTGGGGTACGTAAGGTTTAGTGCTATGTGCAAATCTATACACGTATAATGTGGCATTTATCTACAGTAGTAAGACTAGTATTTTAATTTAACAATGACATGTCAAATTGTCACTATCATTTAGTTTTCGACTGTATTGTAAATATCTTTGTGTGTGTGTGTGTGTGTGTGCTCTTGTGCACGCATTCTAACCGAGGACACACACCCGCCCGAAACCCACTAACCGAGGACACACCTCCAACCGAGGACGTCCTCGGTTGACATAAGCAGTGGAATGCATAAAGGGGCCCATCTCAAGTTAGGTGGTGAAATTTGACGCTATTCTGAGCCAGTCCTAGGTTATGCTGTATAGCGCGGGCCAAATTCCCGCCACGAGTGTATCAGAAATACTGTCCAACTTTTTGTCTGAAATCGTGCTATACACACGCGTCCTCGGTTGTGCTGTAAAGGGCGGACCAAATTCCGCATCCTCGGTTGTGCTGTAAAGGGCAGACTAAACTG